GACTTTTGTGTTGATTCGATTTTAACGATTCCAGGAATTCGAACTTGTTTGTGATGTTGGCAAAATATTTCAAAAGGTGTGCCGTGTTTTGATGGAACGTTATTGATTAAAAATACAGACATGGAAATACCACATTTTACTCTTGCATTTGTTCTTTTTACCGTCCGATGAACTTTTTCAACTATTCCATTTTCCGATGGTTTTTCAACAGCTCGATAGATGAGCCTTATTTCCCATTTCGCAGCCATAGTTTGCATAAGCTGAGATCTTAATGACTTAGAGTTATCTAGAAGAACTTCAGAAGAAGGTCCAAGTGTTGACCATATTGTTTCTAACGCTTGAACAACCATAGTTGCACTTTCGTCGCTTAATGGTGTCCATAACGTATATCTGCTTGGGCCGCAATCAATACAAGTGAGATATAGCAATGAATCAACATGAGTAACATTGCAGGCTACTCTTTCCCATACTTTGCTAACAGCAAGATTTCCTTTATCCCACAACATCACATTAGGGTCAATCGAGTTACATTCATCGCACTCTGCGACAACCTGTTTCACTGTGTCTCTGGTAACGTGGATACCAGCGCGCATACATAACTCCATACTCTTGGAAACTCCAATGTGTGCTAGTAAATGAATTTTTCGAATCTGCTGTTTATCGTACTTATAAATGGTATTACATTCTTGTGCTGCAACTTTGTTTTTTATCCATTTTGTTGGCACTCTTGTGAGTTCATCTGCAATATTTTTAGTTGTTGGTACCCATGTAACAGTTACATTTATGACATAATCCTCGAATCAGTTTTAATGGAGACATCACTTGGATTCCATTTCAATGCCATATTTAGACCTTCAATACATGCATCTAATTCGGCCACATTGATATGCATTGCATCAGACTTTGGTCGGAGCCATGTCGCATCTTCTATCTTTCTGTCACCTTGCGTTATCACAACTCCTTTTGCCAGCAAACTTGCATCGCACCATACAGTCAGAGATGCATTTGGTTTAACATTCTATACACCTTTTGCCAGATCGCACTTTACGACTTTATCTACAACTTCCTGCATCATTTCGATAACATACTTATTCGTAATAGGTTCATCCCAACCTGCTTCGTTTGTACATCTTTTTATATAGCTGCATGCCGGTCTCAACCATCCAGCAACTGGTAGATTAGCAATCAGATTACCACATAATGAGAATATATCCCTCTTTGTGAGCACAGATTTAATAATAGGAAGCTCGCGTCCTCTCTTCCACAACATCTCCTTTGTTAATGGATTTACTGTGACTTCTAATCCTAGTACACGAACTGGGTTTTCGCCAAAATATCCAGGTGCTTTTGCATGAAGACCCCATTTCTTCATATGTATCACCAGCTTTCTTCCATTGGTTTCTAGGGTGTCATCAATGTATCCTCTTGTTGTTTTTGCCAGTGCAGAATCTTGTTGGAGAACATACCGCAATATTGAGCCTATCATCACTGGTGCCAAACTTAGACCAAAGCCCAAACGTGTAAAAGTGCATATCGCTGATTTTTATAGATAACCGTCTGGTAAGGCCAATGCCTTTTATGCACATGCTTTGTAAATATGCCCTTCTTAGACCCTCTACCGAGTCATTGCTGTTTTTACTCATGAATCTCCACTCCCTCATTACATCATTGATGACATCAGCATCCTTTGTAGAGGCTTTTACATACGTGTTAAGCTCACGATAATCAAGCACAGGTCTTATCTTTTTTTTATTATCTTGAATGACACACATTAATGGTAGTAGACCTTTAGGTTTTCCCATAATTTGATCGTCATATTTGATGAGTATACCTTCTTTGATCCATTCATATATTGTTAAACGCCTCACAATGTTGGTCAGCTACATTATACTGACTTGTTCTATTTTTCATTTTAGGTTCGTTTTCCCACTCCCAACTTACAATCCATTTTTTGCCATCAAAATAAGCTTTGCTTGTTCCAATTTCAATTGTCGCAACACGAAGTTTCGATGACAACTCAATCAAAGAATTACACAATTTCAGTTTTCCAGTGCCAATTTGTAGTCCATCACACATCTTTATTAAGTCCATACCCATAATCATGTCATATTTGTTTATTACTTCATTCACACTCAGAACCACCACATCCACCAAGCACCCATTCGTTGGGTGGCATATTTTAGCACTAACTTCTTTGCATCGAATTATTCCGCCCATTGATGCAACATTTACTACAGGAATCACATTTTAGTCAGTCTTGTAGAGATACCTAATGCGATATCGTCCCATTTAAGTTTTCCCGCTTTCATTGACGTTTGTAGCAGTGTTTTGCAGCATGTTTATGCAAGCATTTTTTGCATAAAGAGGTACATTCACGTGCAAAGTGATTTAAGGATTCACAGTTGTAACATCGAATTTCTTTCTTTCTTCGTGTATAACTTGTCGTTCCAGTCGTCCGGTGAATCGCATTTACTTCTTCATTTACAGATAGACATGCCGCATCTAATCTTGTTTGTGCAACCACGAATGCAGTCTTGACACAATCGTCAAAGCTCAATGCATCGTCTCCCCGAAGAGTGGCACGCAGAATGGCACCATTATTAATGCCAATTATGAATTGGTCACGAAGTCGACCGCCTCTCTCTGAGGGCAAGAACTTGCAGTCTTGAGCTGCTCGAATCACTTGATGCGCGAACGTCTGTATAGATTCTTCAGTACCTCTGTAAATTTTTCCAAACTCGTGAGATTAACGATGAATTTCTTATTTCCAACGTTTCTAATTTCGTTACCAATTCTTCGTACGAAACATCCTCTGGAACTTCCGGTGCTGTTAATTCTTCCATGGTCTTGTAAGTCTTTAACGGCAGAGTGGCAAGCAAAAACGCTAATTGTTGATCTGAAGTTATATTGTTTATTGCCAAGAAGGAAGTCATCTGCCGAATAAATTGCTTTGGCTGTCTATCTTCGTATTGCGGAGATAATAGACATGCCCGGTTAGCTTGTTGTTCGACACATTTAAAAGCCTTTTTTTTTGTTGTTAACGTTTTCTTTTACTTATATTTAAAGTTGATATTTGCAAAAAAAATTGTTCGCTTTATATAGCATATAATACAACTTGTGACTCTTGTCGACAATTAATAAAAAACGTTATAATAATAGAAAATCACAACTTGTGACTTTTGTCAATAATTAGCACGCTAATTATTAATGACACACAACAGAAATAAATTATAATTTTCTTACTAAATTTTTCCAGACAATAATAACTTTTTTCTAAAATGGTAGATATTGGTCTTCTTTTTTTATCCCATAGAATTTTTTCTCACTTATTTGATGAAAATAAATATGGAATTTGTGATAAAAAATGGAAAGCGCCGATAGTTGAGTCATCCCAATATCTATGAATCTATCAAACCTGTCATTTCAATATTGGCAGTCAAGAATGCTGCATGAAAAAATTCCGGAGAATGGATAATCTCTATGCTTAAAATACACTTTGTAATTTTCTTCAATAGTCCTAGATAAAATAATTTTACATAAAATAATTGGAGTTAAAAAAACAAATAATTTTTTAAAGTTACTTTTGGCATTTGTTAAACTAGGGTTTATCTAGGTTCTAAATAAAAGATTTTCCTGATGTTAAGCATGGTTAAAACAGAACACAAATTTAGCTCAGCCAGCGTAACCATTAGTTAAAAATGAAGGCAAAAATAAGGATTTTAATTAAATTTAAAGAATAATTTTAATTTATCATGAAATTTAATAACCAACAGTAAAAAATTATATATAATAAATAAAAAGAAATTTTCTACATTACAGAATCTATCTTTTTTAAATAAATAAAAAACATACCTCCTGCCAATAATCTTTATCTTTTTCATTGATTTGACAACAACCATCCAGAAAACATCACATTATCACAAGATGAGTCACTAAAATCAAACATAAACATAACTTTTTGAATACATTTAAGTGACAGTAAAATACAAAGATCACTTCCACTCAATAGCATCCCATGTTGATTATTTTACTAGGAGGTAATGATTTAGACACAAATTCAATGATTTACAAGGGTGATGATTCAGACAGATATGAAGAATTTTAGATTATTTTCAAGTAAATATATGACTAATTAATTTACAGTTCTTTAATCTCTATCATTATCACACAATACTATATCTAATTATAATTGATGTATTAGGGTGGAGGTAATAATTTAGGTGCAAGTTTAGTGATTTTATAGTGGGGAGGGGATAATCCAGACAAATACTAAAGTATTTTAAGAGTATTTTCATGTAAACATATAATTATTTATAGTTGTATAATTTCTATCACTATCACTAAATAATATTATCGCACTATCTTATACTGATATGATACATGATTGATTTACTAAAGGGAGGGAACATTTTAGGCACAAGTCTAGTGATTTACTAGGGAAGAGGTAATAATTCAGACAGATAAAAAGAATATTTGTAGAGTATTTCAAGTAAACAAATGACTAACTAATTTACAGTTGCTTAATTTTTATCATCATCACGCAATACAATTACTCAGGCTTGCTAAGACTTAGTAAATAACTTGATATGAGATGATACGATATTGGTATTGTTTGATAATGATAGAAATTGTGCATCTGTAAATTACTTACTTGTAAATTACACTTTTTTACTTGAAAATGCTCAAAACCTTTATATCTGTCTGAATTATCAACTCCCCCTTTGGAAATCACAAAACCTTCACCTGAATTATTGCCTCCCCCTTGTAAATCAGTCAATATAAGACGGTGTGATTATGTTATTTAGTGAGAAAGATAGAAATTTTATAACGGTCAATAATTAGTCATATATTTACATGAAAATACTCTACAAATATTTTTATATCTGTCTGAATTATCACCTCCCCCTTAATCAATCACTCCATATGAGATAGTGCAATAATAGTATTGTTTTATAATGATAGAAATTGTTTATTTGTAAATTAATTAGTCACTTTTTTACTTGAAAATGCTCAAAAAATTTCTTTGCATTTGTCTGAATTTTCACCTCCCCCTTAGAAAATCACTAAACCTGCGCCTGAATTATTAACTCCCCCATGTAAATCAGTCAGTATAAGATGGTGTGATTATGTTATTTAGTTAGGAAGATAGAAATTTTACATCTGTAAAGTAATTAGTTATTTATTTACTTAAAAATGCTGTAAAAGGTTTTTTATATCTGTCTGAATTATCACCTCCCCCCTTAGTCAATCACTTTATATGAGATGGTGCAATAATAGTATTGTTTTATAATGATAGAAATTGTTTATTTGTAAATTAATTAGTCACTTTTTTACTTGAAAATGCTCAAAAAATTTCTTTGTATTTGTCTGAATTATCACCTCCCCCTTAGAAAATCACTAAACCTGCGCCTGAATTATTAACTCCCCCATGTAAATCAGTCAGTATAAGATGGTTTATTTTGTGACATTGTAATTAAAAATTTATTTTTTGTTCGTTTTTAGTGACTCATCATGTTATAGTGTGATGTTTTCTAAATGACTTTATGTGATAGTGTGAACGTTTTCTGACTGGCAGAAGGTAAGTTTTTCAGTTAGCAATTTACACTTTAAGTTAAAGCTCAACTTTATCATATTGTTTATTCACTATTGGAAAACCACCTTTATAATCATTTGAAGTTACGGAATACTTATATATAGGTTTATTAGTTTTAAGTATTTTATTTATTATAAAGTTTATTAATTGTTTCAGGATATTCAGTTTTCTTTTTGCCCAACCTTGTCAGTCTGGTGCTAAAAAGGTAAGTTTAGTGTTATATCTTTAGAAGCTAATATTATTTCGGTCCTAATGGTAATGCACGCAAGTATGAATTAATTGTGTTAATAAATTTTTTTTTTCTTTGTTTATTTATTATTCAACTTTTTTGCATAGAAGGTTTTAATTTTAACTTTTCATTTCTTTGTGAATTTGTTTAATAGAAGAGAACGAACAACATTTATGTGTAAACACTGAGAGAGGAAAAAAAGGACTAGTTTATGTGTAAACACTTAGAGAGAGTAAAAAGGAATGTATATATATATATATATATATATATATATATATATATATATATATATATATATATATATATATATATATATATATATATATATATATATATATATATATATATATAGATATATATAGATATATATATATATACATATCAAAATTCTTGATAGATAAAATCAAAATAAAGTTTATATAAAAATATTAAAACAATATTGTAAATAATTTTATTAAAAATTACTTTAAAAAATTGTTATTTAATGTTTTAATTATGGATCTTTATTTTAACTGTTATTATTTAATTTAATTGATTGTTTTGAGAAAGGTTTGTGCAGGTAAATGATTTGCTGCTTTCTGTTACATTTGGAGTGCAGTCCATGTGATACCATCGACTTGGTAAGCATTTATCACACTTAATCTATAAATAAATCATATATATAGTTTCATGATTATTATTTAAATTTAGAATTAAAATGAGATTTAAAGATAATACAAATCTTATATCCATTTATCTATTATTTGCTTTTTATATTTTTTCGGTCCTTTTGCATTACCGCATATGCGACACAAAACATCTTTCCAATTATGTTGACCTGAGTTTAAATTTTGTCAACTGTTATTTTTTTACAGGTATATTTATATTTTTATTAAACAATTTAATAAATAACAAACCTCCTCTATCTATAAGATAGTGCACCACCTTGCTTCGATATAGAACTACTTCTTCTAATGGAAAGGACATTGCCAACTCTTCTCCATTCATAAAGTTTTCAGCAAACTAAAAAATTTTAATTTAGAACTCTTAACTATAACAAATGTTTTATTAAACTCGGCTTAGGTTAAGCTACCTAAAAAATTTGTGATAATTTTTCAAAGTGGATGATAGGGAGGGGGGGAGGAGGAGATAACAAAAGTCTGAAGTTGCCTCTAAACAATGAACACTCGAATTAAAAATTTGTTAGTAGGCATATATGGTAATAGAGCTGTATTTATTTAGTTACTGGATAGCTCAATTGGTATACCGTTAATGAGTACTGCTCATTTGCATCAATATTATTTAGGTTTAGTCTTATTATTGCATCACTATCCAGATTCATTATAAAAAATAACTGATGCAGCTTTTGATTAGACTTTGAAGATATTTGCTGCTATCTTTATGATAAATAAAAAATAATGGAGCTATATATCTTTTATAAAAATTGTAAAAAAATAAAAAGTATTTCACATTACTTTAAGACAAAAGACTCCACACGATATGCTGTCTCGTTGCAGTGCATGTAGCAATGTCATTATTTTAAATGTTTCTGGAATTCCATACCTTTGTTTCAAATAGCTACTGAATTTGAAAAAAAAGAAATAGTTTCTTTATCTAAATAATCATTATGTATTAAGGTTTTATACTATTTTAGTCATGCATTGCTTATTGAATAATTTCATACCTCCATTTTATTTCTTCTTTTTTTATTGAAGATAAGATTTCGCCAAGAGGATTGATGTAATAAAAGCTCTTTTCCTTTGGTTTGATTATCTAGAAGAAAAAACAATTTCAACATTTTAATCCTAGTTTCTTTCCAATTGAATATTTTTTTAAAAAAAGTTTGTATTATTTTTTTATTATGAAATATTTATGTTTATAAATATTATTTATATTATTTTTATTCTTTGAAATACTTAGATATATATTGCTTATCTAACCTGTTTCATTCATTCATCCATTTTGATGAATAGATCATTAAATATAAAAGAGTTTACTCACTGTAAGCATCCAATGATGTTTTGCAACAACAAAGCATATAAGAATATCTAGTTTTAACAACTCATCCTGCATATAAATAAGATTTTTATTTAAATACCGCATGTGTTATGAATAAGTATTTAGTGGCATAACCAGGCGATTATGTGAAGGATCTTTTATCCTTAATATTTAATGTTTTTTTTATGCTTGCATTGACCTTACAACGGCCATATGCGCATGAATCTCTTCATGTGTAGGATTAAAGGAAAAAAGGCGACTCCCTAACCATTCGCCTTGTTACGCTTATCTATCTATATTTACTTTTTAATTAAAGCTTTAAATATTTTAATAACATTCAATTTTTTTTTTTCAGTGAAAATGTTTAATACCAAATTTTTCCTTCGAATCAAAGCTGTTTTATTTGGTAACACTTCTTGTGATAGTAATCCGGCTGGTGCTAGTACTTCAATTTTGTTCCTTCATGAAAAGAATTGTGAATTTTAGCATTGTAAATCATGTTATAATGTTTTATTTATAAAAATAGTTTTTAAATTTACATGTTTTATAAGAAATATTGTATTGTAAACTGGCTTAAAATTCAGAATTTTAGTTTTAAATAATGTATGTTACATTACATTAAAATATTTTCATAACATAATTGCGTAATTTTTCATAAATCTTACCTTATCTTGATTACTAGCAAGTAAACTCAGATAAACGTAAACTGTTTCATCACTCAAACAATCAACTAGAGTTTTTTGTAATGAGTAGTCGTATATTTTGCTGTCTCCCAATTCTTTAAATATACCCATTATTGCTTTTATCGGTTTAAGATTTTTTAGGCATTCGATTATTTCGAATCCTGCATATAATATGAATTTTTTTTTTTACTTTTACTAATAGTATATTTAATAAACAATTTTGATTTGAAAAACACCTAAAAGTTCAAAATTTTGCTCACCTCAGTTGCACGTCATATAAAATATACCTTCACTGTTTTCAATAATACAGCTTTTACCGCTGTCGCTTACTTCTGAATCGTCAAACTCTATAAAATAAAATAATCGATTAAATTTTAAAATTAATATAACTTGCCTTGTTTTTTAAGTATGAAACGAAAAGAATTTTAAAAATTGCATGTTATTCGGCGTAAAGTGTTAACTACTTTGTGTTCTTTTTACTGAAGTATCATTATTGCTCAAATCTGTAACATTGACATCATCTACAAAAAAAAAAAGAAATTAGAAAAACAGATTTTTTTTTCATCATTGTTTCTAGCTAACAAACAGATAAACGAAGAACTTCAATATATACATACATACATACATTACATACATACACACATACATTACATACATACATACATACATACATACATATATATATATATATATATATATATATATATATATATATATATATATATATATATATATATATATATATATATATATATATATATATATATATATATATATATATGTATATGTATATATATATATATATATATATATATATATATATATATATATATATGTATATGTATATATATATATATATATATATATATATATATATATATATATGTATATGTATATATATATATATATATATATATATATATATATATATATATATATATATATATATATATATATATATATATATATATATATATATATATATATATATATATATATATATATATATATATATATATATATATAGTGAAAACATCTATACCTTTTACAACAGTACTTTCAATGAATTTTTTTATATGTATTTTTTTGTGCGTTCCCGATATTTGCATACCTTTATCATCTTTTAATCTAAAGTTCCCACATTGTGTTACATGAGAAACAATAAACGGACCTTTAAAACGTGGTTTTAATGCAGCACTTTTTGATCTGCGACCCCTAATGTCAAGTAACAATACTTTATCTTCAACGTCAATGGATTCCTTTTCATTTTTTTTAAACTTCAATACTTTTTTATCGTAATGTATCTTTTGCTTGTTTTGAGCATCTTTGATGTTCTAAAATTAAATTTTGCTAAATTGCTAACAAACGCAATTGGTACGTACCTGGCTTTCATATTATTTAATGTTATTATTGCTATTTAATAATGTTATAACATCGAACCTTACAAACTAAATTTGTGAGATTTTCAATGCGAAGTTTGCTTTTTTCCATTTCACTCGTTATATTATCATCTGTTGCATTCACAAATATTTTGTTCTTTAAATAAATTATAAAACTTACGATATATTTTTTATACATTGATTTTATAAATTAACTGCCAACAATTCAAATAAATTTTATACTTTTAACACAATTTGGTGACATGTGTACGTGTGTGATATAAATTGTTTGAATAAATAATAAAAAAAATTTTACTTCCTCAAATTCACTAGTACACCTGTTTGTACTAGTGAAGACCGACTACTAAACAATATTTCAAAAGGGGATACTTTTGTAGATTGTTGCCTCTCCACTCGTAGTGGGTACAAAACAATATCAACATATTCGTCCCAATTTGTTTGATTTTCATTAACTAGATTTCTTAACTTTCTAAAAGTACAAAAAGCGTTAATATTTAATAACTGACATGAAAATCTAAATAATTTTGTAATATACATATATACATAATATGCAATAAAATAAATTTGATAAATTCTAACTATTCAGTAAGTATGGAAGTGTTATAAATAAAGAACACGTTTGACAAAACAAGAATGGTTACATTTTAAGATGCGCTTAATAGAAATTATTAATCACTTCAGCGGTAATCACCCAAAACAAAAAACATTATAACCTTTTTACATTTTTATTGGTGTTTTCGTCTTGTCCGTTGCACTGTGGGTGATAAACGGCTGTCTTTCTTTGTTCAATACCCAGCATTTTGTACATTTCGTGGTTTAACTAAAAAATTAGGATTAGTAACAAAAATTAACAAACCCTTAGGGTTTCATTATCATTTATTTTAATTTATTTTTACCTGATTACAAAACTCAGTTCCATTATCTGAAAGTATTGCCGAAGGAAACCCAAAGGTTGTAACTAATTTAATAATAGCCTTTGCAACAGTGGTAGCTTCTTTATTTGGTAAAGCATATGCAAACGGCCACTTGGAAAACAAATCTGTGCAACTTAAAAAATATTTGTTGCCCATTGCTGTTTCTGTAAAGGGTCCAGCAAAATCAATACCCACAATTTCCCATACTCGAGTTGTCTAAAGTTATTAAATATAAACAGTATAACAAGACCTTATTATACTGCTTAAAATTGAATCTAAATTATTCTATATTAGGTAAGGAATTAAACTGCTCGCTTCATGATTAAGATTTTTTATGGTCGAACGGCATTCTTGGATCGTAACGCACTCGATTTAATTTATTATGCAGACGCTTTGTCTAACAAAATTTATGTTTTAGTGAGATGGATTTCAGAGAGAGTTGCAATTAGTTAAGATGAAAAAAAAAATTATTATAATGTAGAAGAAAATCATTTAAAAAATGTATTCTTCTTTTCTGTAGAGTCATTGGACAAAGTATTGGTTTTATAAATAAAGTTTTTTACTGTTTTAAAAATCATTCTAACCTTTATTGAACGTAATGGCTTTGCTGATGAAATAAGTGCACCTGCTGTTTGGCATGCTTGCATTGTTTTACCTGTTACAATAAAAGTTGCAATTTTAATTCAGTTTTAACTGATTAATTTTTTTTGATTGATTATTACCAACCCATTTTATAATATCCGTAGTCATATTTGGCCAGTAGTATTTTTCCATAATTTTTGACTTCGTCTTTGTTTCACCGCTATGCCCTCCCAAAGGGTTACCGTGTTCCTCAGTAAAAATCTTAGTTCTTTCTTTTTCACAAAGTATAATATCCGCGACATAAGAATTTTCGTAGGTTGTGACTTTCCGTTTCAGCTTGCCTTCTTGAATAAAGTTTGTTAGACATTTTTTTGGTAGCATGGAACAATATTTTTACTAAACTAAATGTTGCAAAAAAATTAAATTACCTTGCACAACGTAACTTCGAGATACATCTTTTAGACATCGTTTTTCATTTTTTTAAAAACCAGCCGGATAAGTCTTCTCTGATAAGTATTTAAAGATGTTATTGAAATAAATTTCTTTTTTTTCACCGTTTGACATTGTTGACAGAACCAACCCACTTAACAACACTGAACTACTGATTTGTTTGAAACATAAGAAGGTATTTATGCAACAAATTTGTAATTTTGCGTGGGTTAAAACTGCCACAATTGCTTCCTAAAAACTTAATTACTGGTTTGTGGACAATGCCAGAGCATTTAAGACGGTTGTTTTTTATAGTAACGTTGAAAATGGTTTACTTAAAAATATGTTAAAACTACAAGACTTTGATTTTAACAAATATTTTAGGCGTATTGTAACAATGATCCACGTTGGAATTATTTACGATTCAATTTTTTTCCTTGTGCAAAAGGTTGTGGATTTTAGCATTACAAAGATTTTGAAATAGGTGTCAAAAAAGTAAATCTAAAAAACATTTTAACTAATCCTAGTAATATTTTTTTGAGGAATAACTTTTGCTAATTATTTTGTATAACTACTTATAACTGAAGGTCTTTTCAATTCATTTTCAAAAGCCATTGCAATCCTCAACCTCAACAAAAATGAGATTATATTTATATTCTTCTATATAATAAAACAGATACGATCCCATTTTTTTTAAGATTAAGGTTTGTACAGCAGTATTTCTCAAGTTAACTTATACGATTGTTCTTTTATGCAATTTTCGACCAAATAGCGCCTTAAAAACACGTTTCAAGGTGGATTCGCTAATGTTAAATGGTCAAAAAAAAATCAAAATTCTTCTCTGATGGAACTGCAAAAATAAATAAATATTTATTTGTAATGCTTATGTAAATAGATTTGCCTGTTGCCAGTTATGGGTCCGGTATCACCCGGTCGGTTGGTCACCTCTAAAATAGGGATTCCAAAAGTGTCAGGGTCACGACTACCCAAAAAGCAAAAATTAAAACAATTGACAATAAAATCCTCGAAACAGAAATAAACAAAAAGAAAGATTGATATTTGGTTTTATTAATTTCACAGGTGATCACTCCTTCTATCCGTCAATGCTTGTTTTTAAGATTTTCTTTAAAACATTTTTTCCTTCATCTTTTTTTTATAATTTTCAAAGAATATTTTTTTTTTCTCTCGTTAAACTAATCCTTTTTCATTTCAGCTTTGCTGGGTGATATAAAATTCATATTCTAAAGAAATTGATCATTAATTATTATAACAAAGTATATGGTTTGAAATATTTGTATTCACAAGACATAGTTTGAAATTTTTATAACTTTAAAAATATACACAAAATATAAATATACATAATATACATAATATATAAATATACTTAGGTAAATGCTTATGTATTGACTATATACTTCAGCATCTACTTAAAACATATTCATCTACTTAAAAAATACTATAGAACCTTGAAGTTAAAGATATACATTTTGAATCTATAAATTATTTAGATAAAATGTATAAAACTGCTTTCATAATAAAAATTAAAAAAAAATTAGAGAGTAAGAGATTAGACTACATTAAAGAAAATGAGAACATTAAAAAAATATAATAATAAAAGATTTGTTTGGCAAGCAAAAATATTTTAAAAGTAGGTTCATCCAGTTTCTACACTTCCGCAGCAGATGGTTACGCAAGTAACAGTACAGTACGCAATTGATTCAAGTGTTTGATCTTCTTTATGGATGCATTTTTCCTGTACTGCTTATATAATGTTTATATTTCGAAATTTTTGATCCTTTTGAACTTTGGAAAATTTTTTGTGTGGTTCAAATAATTACATTTTCTTTCTATATAACAGCATTAATCTTTTATCTTGGCATTTTGATTATCTTATTCTCCATTTAATTCTGTTTAATGAAAAAAACAAAAATATCAACACATGAAAGTATAAAAAAAGAACATTTTACATAAACAATTATACAAACTTACATGAGATTGACTTTGAATGAAAATCAAATTTATTAAAACACTTGAGATTCTTCTTTCTAAATCGTCTGCTCGTATTTGAGAAACCAATTTGAAATCAATTTGTAAATAAAAAGAAAAACAATTTAAAAATCTTAGAACTTCATATTATTGGAAAAAACAGAAACAACAACAATTAATCAAAGTTTAAAATGAAAACATGGAACAATAATTAAAAAACTCAATACAAACACAATTTTTTGAATTCATTTATGAAAAAATAAAACAAAAAGATCACTTCTACTCAAAAGCATCTTATTTTGATTAATTTACTAGGAGATAAAAAATCAGACACTTTACAAGGGGTAGGTGATAATTCAGACAGATGTAAAGAGCTTATTAGAGTATTTTTAAGTAAATAAATCACAAATTAATTTACAGTTGTATAATATCAATCATTATCACAAAACACCATGATCACATCATCTCATATTATACTGATGTATTAGGGGTAGGTAAAAATTCAGACGCTAGTTTTAGTGATTTACAAAGAGAAGGTGATAATTCTGACATATAAAAATTTTCTAGACAAACATTCATTAACACAATTAATTCATACTTGCGTGCATTACCATTAGGACCGAAATAATATTAGCTTCTAAAGATATAACACTAAACTTACCTTTTTAGCACCAGACTGACAAGGTTGGGCAAAAAGAAAACTGAATATCCTGAAACAATTAATAAACTTTATAATAAATAAAATACTTAAAACTAATAAACCTATATATAAGTATTCCGTAACTTCAAATGATTATAAAGGTGGTTTTCCAATAGTGAATAAACAATATGATAAAGTTGAGCTTTAACTTAAAGTGTAAATTGCTAACTGAAAAACTTACCTTCTGCCAGTCAGAAAACGTTCACACTATCACATAAAGTCATTTAGAAAACATCACACTATAACATGATGAGTCACTAAAAACGAACAAAAAATAAATTTTTAATTACAATGTCACAAAATAAACCATCTTATACTGACTGATTTACATGGGGGAGTTAATAATTCAGGCGCAGGTTTAGTGATTTTCTAAGGGGGAGGTGATAATTCAGACAAATACAAAGAAATTTTTTGAGCATTTTCAAGTAAAAAAGTGACTAATTAATTTACAAATAAACAATTTCTATCATTATAAAACAATACTATTATTGCACCATCTCATATAAAGTGATTGACTAAGGGGGGAGGTGATAATTCAGACAGATATAAAAAACCTTTTACAGCATTTTTAAGTAAATAAATAACTAATTACTTTACAGATGTAAAATTTCTATCTTCCTAACTAAATAACATAATCACACCATCTTATACTGACTGATTTACATGGGGGAGTTAATAATTCAGGCGCAGGTTTAGTGATTTTCTAAGGGGGAGGTGAAAATTCAGACAAATGCAAAGAAATTTTTTGAGCATTTTCAAGTAAAAAAGTGACTAATTAATTTACAAATAAACAATTTCTATCATTATAAAACAATACTATTATTGCACTATCTCATATGGAGTGATTGATTAAGGGGGAGGTGATAATTCAGACAGATATAAAAATATTTGTAGAGTATTTTCATGTAAATATATGACTAATTATTGACCGTTATAAAATTTCTATCTTTCTCACTAAATAACATAATCACACCGTCTTATATTGACTGATTTACAAGGGGGAGGCAATAATTCAGGTGAAGGTTTTGCGATTTCCAAAGGGGGAGGTGATAATTCAGACAGATATAAAGGTTTTGAGCATTTTCAAGTAAAAAAGTGACTAATTAATTTACAGATGCACAATTTCTATCATTATCAAACAATACCAATATCGTATCATCTCATATCAAGTTATTTACTAAGTCTTAGCAAGCCTGAGTCTAAGGGGGAGGTAATAATTTAATAATTTGTAAGGATGTATTTATTTATCTTTTTTTTTAGAATTTAATATCAGCTTAGAATTTATTAAAAAAGTAGAATGTTATATGTTGAATAAATTAGGTCTTTTTTTTACAGTTAATAATTTTTTCAGTGTTTTTATAGCTATTTGAAATGGTGTTGTTTTTCTGGAAGTGCATTGATATTGAAGGGATGTTGGTCACTTTTAAAACTTTCCTGTCAACTGTATGAATCAATTTTCTATGTGCCTGCCAAATTTAAAGTGAAAAAAAACATGCCCAGATACCATATTTTTCCAACTAGTGGAGGTACCATTTCCAGCACTTTTACTGTTACTGATACTGTTACATTTTATTAAACAGTTACTGTTACTGTTACTTCTTGATATAAATTATGTTGTATTTTTACTGTTACCAGTTATTTTGACTTGATTTTAAAATTTTGTTTCTGCTCCGATGAGAGGGAAACATTGAAAGCATGTTGGTACACTTTTAAAATTTTCTAGGCAACTGTATATATCTATTTTCTATGTGCCCGCTAAATTTCATTAAAAAATATTAATGCCCACATACCCTATCTTTCCGCGCAGTAGAAGTTCCTTTTTCATAAAATAAAAAATTCTTTCAAATATCGCGTCTTCTCTAAGAAAAAAAAAGCGTTTTCTTTAAGAAAATTTAAACAAAGCAAAATCATGCGCAAATTAAAAATAAAGTTCTAACAAAAATACCGTTAACCGAGCGCAAGTTTTTTAAGCTGGATCCATTTTCTTTAAGCAATCCATATAAGAAAATATTGTTACTTAAATGGGCATAACTTTTTGTTGAATTATTATTTTTTCTTTGAATTTTCACCTTTTTAATACAAATTTAAAGGTCTTTTTAATCATATATAATAATTATATAAATAAATGGTTTTAAATTTTTACACACGTACCTATATAATAATTATAAGTATAATAAGTAAACTAATTATATTACATTTGTATAATATCTATTACTATCAACCTTTTTTATATAACCTTGCTTATATTACCTTTCAAAAAAATGGAATTGGAACATCACAAAAGACCAAGTAAACTTTATTTCTCGAATTCTTGTCCTCGAAGCGTCATTTTCGTTGTTTATGTTTATGTTAATTATGTTATGTTATGTAAGGTAATCCGGACGTTTTAGGAACACATCTAACAGCTATAACTAGAAAGCGCAACCTCGTTTTGAGTTTTCAATAGGGGGAGGTGATGATTCAGGCGGAGGTAATAATCTATCACAAATCCCCCTCATCCGCCCGGCGTTAAACTGAAAAAAAAAAAATTAGGTACCAAAAGTGCTAGTTAAAATAAGGAATGTGCTAATCAAAATAAAGCAATGAAATTCGGCAGGTGCATAAAAAGTATGTAAACTTAAAAATGAGAATAGGTAGGAAAATTTACTGAGCATTTTTTCAAGGTTTACTAAACGTCTAAAGTATTACCAAGTTTTGGATGTAAATAAATTACCCCAAAAAAGTTTGTCATTGTAATCAAAAGACACATAGAAATAAAGTTTAATTACTCTAGATTTTTAAAAATAACTATGTTAATATGAAATTCTAAAAAATAAGGCTACAAAACACCATTCTATCATGCATGTCAACACCAAAGTCGAAAAAACGAAGAACAGTTTTTTGGTATAAAACTCGGTACCGTGAAACGCGTATTTCTACGTACCTAGTAATATGTAAGATAGTAAGTACTGTTTTATCGAATTTTCTAACAAAAACAAACAAGCTCTCTAAAGCTAAACCCAGCCTTACTAATAATTGCAAATAAAATAAATTTAACTGTTAAAGAAAATAAACATAAAGAAAAGTAATATCATAAATAGTACAATTTTAAAACAAAAATGTTCTTTTGAACGACATTAAATGGCGCATTTAACCTTGGCGCACGTGAATTTAAAATTTTAATATCGTTTTAAAAATTACATGGAAATTTGTAATAGAATATCGTATCCGCCTAGATTATCATATCCCCCATAAGAAAATTGAAAACGCAGATGCGATTTAAAATTATAGTATTTAGAAGTGCACCGAAGTCGTCCGAAATGAAAAACAAATGAGTTTTTAAATATATTTGGAAGATTTTATTGATTTATAGTAGTGGGAAAATATTGTTTTCTACATATGAATTATAATGCTTTAAAAAGAGTTTAAAGAGTTAAAAGATGTTGAAATAATACGTATCATATCATGTGTTATTAGGTCAATGGTATTCATATTATTTTTACCATGGCCCATGCATGGGGGATATGATATTCTAATCAACAAATTAATTTGATATACAAGGATATAATACCACGTATGTTGTCCTAGTTTATACAATACCTACTAGCATTTTGACTCTCAAACCTAGTTTGAGAATGCTATTATATATATATATATATATATATATATATATATATATATATATATATATATATATATATATATATATATATATATATATATATATATATATATATATATATATATATATATATATATATATATATATATATGTATATATATATATATATGTATATATATATATATATATATATATATATATATATATATATACATATATATATATATATATATATATATATATATATATATATATATATATATATATATATATATATATATATATATATATATATATATATATATATATATAATTATATATATATATATATGAATAAATCTTCTGCGGCTGAAAATTCAGCCACTCTAAGCAAATAAAAATTGCTTCTGCGGCTGAAAATTAACGCATGCGCTAGTTTAACGTTAAAACACGTTTTTGCGTACATGCTTTATTTTTGAGATTACTCCTGGACATAAAATGAGTAGCCTATTCTTGCGGCGAACGTGACGTCACTTTAACTAACTAAACGGCTACCATTATGGTATGGGGGCAAACAAAGCGCTTGAAAATGAAGAAATGTGTTTTTGATTGTTCAATTAATGTTAATAGTCATCCGAACTTGATTTGTTATATTTTGCTTCCTGATCCAAAGAGAAGAAAATCGTGGCTTTATGCTTTATATAAAACTGATTCATCTTGCAAAAACAAACTTTGGTCGCAAAACATGTCTAAGTATGCTCAAAACATTTTGTATCTGGTAAGTTTTGTATTTGAATCGTCAAAATGTTTGAGCACAAATTTTTCTTGAACTTATTAAGTTTTTTTCGTCTGTATATTTTTATTCATTGTAAGTATGTTTCTCTTTTAGGAAAAAAAAGGACATAGTCTAGATGCTTTTCAAAATTTTGAAAAGCATGTTGACTATGCCCCATCAGTAAATATGTTAGGTGCTAAAAAATATATATAGTGAAATCATCTCTCCAACATAACCAATTGTTATGTGAAATGAAAGGAGAATAAATAGATTAAACAATTCAATTAGTATATACTATATAGTATTGGTATGTACTGTATAAACAACAAGATAAACTATATAATATAGTTTATCTTGTTGTTTAAAATGTTTTTGTAAAAACTATTTATGTAATAGTTACAATTTATTTTTGTTTTGCATTGATGCATAACAAAAATAAATTGTATATATAAATATTAATGCATTAAAACTAAGCATTTATAAATCATGTGTTTATTGTTTTTATTTTTAAATAAATTAATGTTCAATAGCTTGTTAAGCACAAATTTTGTATTTACTATATACCTCAAACATGCTTATATTTTTTTAGAATATTATGTACAAATAAGTCATTGCAATAAATCTCAAGTTATTAAAGTCAGTGAACAAATAAGTACTGACAATTCGTTGACTGAAGTGGAAGATGTTAGTGTCTTGAACCAACATGAAACAACAAGTTAACTTAGCTGAGAATGATGGTAGTTTAAAAATAATGCAGCATTGGCTAGGTAAGTGATTATGTGTATGTTGGCTCACTCATAAGTCAATATATATGTGTTTATGTTCTGTGTCGACCTCTGGTGTCGTGTTGGCTCACCCTTTAGACATTATATGTGTGTTTGTGTTCTGTTTCAACCTCTAGTGCGGTGTTGATTCACTTGTAAGTCATTATGTGTATAATTTTATTTTGTTTTATTGTGTTATTATAGTGATGTTATTGTTGTGATGCTTTGTGTTGATAGACAACTTTGCTTACCTTCTCGTTGGTGTCTCTTGCTACAAATGATTATTAGATAGTTTTTTTACTTGAATTTGTTACTTCTAATCATTTACTAATAGGCAAGAAACATGTTTTAAAGAAAAACATACTTTTAATGTTGTCATTTTTAATCTTTAGGATTGTTCCTAGGTCACAAAAACAATCTTACAAAGTAAGTTTCTTCTTTATTATTTATTTAGTTATATTTTTAATTAAATTTTCATTTTTCATGTTAACATGATACATAAAACATTAATTTGTAAATGCTTTCAGCATAAATTGGTTCTATTTTCTTTAGTAGAGTTTCTGCTGTTGTTACTGGTTTTAGAGAGTACCTTTGTGAATGAAGATAAAAAGTTATTTATGTTATTTTTTAAAAGCCAAGACATAATATTGTTAATCCTCATACCATTTACTAAAAAGCTTTATAAATATTGTTACGATGTTATAATTCAAATTGTTGTAATTAGTAATTTTGATCATTTCATTATTATACTGTAAAAAATATTTTTTATTTATAACATTTATTTCACATATATTAAAAACATGAGGAATAAATATTACACTGAAGAAAATTTTAAGCAAAATATAGAATTTTTAAATGTTATTAGAATATCAATATGTAATATTTTTGTTTTATTATTGACTACATCTGTAAACTGTGCAATAATTTCAAAATGATGAATTAATTGAATTCCATGATTCCTTTAAGCATTTGCACAGATTTATTTCAATATAACGCTAAATATTGTTCTGGTAACGTTCAACAGCTTTTTTAGATAACTTTTCTTGATAATCATAAAACATTTTCAAGGCGTTTAAGTAATGATGTACTGAAATCAGCGCGTTTGTTTGCCCCCATATCATAATGGTAGATATTTTTGTTTTTAATTACGCAATGATCACGTGGTTTTTTCGCCGCAAGATTCAATTGGAAAATCTTTTGAAAATTTTGAAGAAGCCGATATCTTTATATCTAATTTTTGTAAAGCTAATTTTCATCCTGTAAGTCAAAGGCACAATGTGACAGTTGCAGCTTACAACAAAAAGGTGAGCTATTATATAAATAGATAAACATGAAAACGAACTTTTATAAACGAATGGACATATCCTGTTCCATAATATAGCCTTTCAAAGGCTATATTAGACTTATGTTAGGCTATATTAAGGCTATATATAAGCTTATAATAAGCTGTAAAGCTAATGTAAATAAACAATAGTCCTTTATTTACATTAGGCTTTATTCAATCAAATTACACTGTAGTTTACAGTGCTTCTGAAAAGTTTTGCAATTTTATTAATAAAAGTGTAAATTATGGTTGATTATATACACACTGAAAATAAAATAAACATTCATAAAGATGACGACTGTAAATGTTCTTATGGGTAGGTTTACAATCTCAATGCTTTGGTGACCCTCCTTGCCATTGAAATCCAGATCTTTGAACCCAATACTGGAGTTATCTCTTTCTAGCAGACACACTCAATTGTATCTAAAGATGTAATTGAGTGTTTAAATGTGTTTCACACATACACAAACAACCACCCACACACATGCATACAGACACACACACAATTACATCTTTAAAGTTTTAATTAAGTGTGTTTGCTTGTAAGAGATGTCAGTTTGTAATTTGTAAGTGTGACTTGCACTCAAAATTTTCTTTGTGGCAATTTTAACTTACATAATGTTCAGTGGGGTTTGCATGTCATTTGATACTTATATTTATTTGGTTACTACTATAACTTAACTATTAAATAATTGGCTTAGCATTTACACTTCTGTGCAGTGAAGTCATCAAATTTGAGAAAATATGTCTAGAATAACACTTTTATTATTGATTAGTTATTCTAAAGTTACAAGAATAAGTTATGTGATTAATGCATTTTTTTCTCTAGAGCTTCTGTTTGACAATGCTTCAATTGCATTTTTTTTTGGAAAATATATTCAAGGGTTTTTAAATGTCTTCTGGTACAGAATTTTTTATCATGTTTGAATCAGTTCTACTTGTATTACAAATCAAAGCAATCAAATGGATTAATGATAATTGCAATTTAATTTTTTAATTTATTAGTTACAATGATTTTTGTACAGCATTCCAATATTGTTAGTCGAATCGATGACACTATGAAGAAGAACTGTATTCAAGTCGGAAAACTTTTCTATCATAATTCTATATATATATATATATATATATATATATATATATATATATATATATATATATAAAACTCTGATGGTACAAAATACTTCCAGACAATCCTACAGAAATAGAGGCTGCCAGTAGAAAAAAACAGTAGATAAGTGTTTTTTACTAATTACTGCTCATATGTTTGTGTGTTTATATATATATATATATATATATATATATATATATATATATATATATATATATATATATATATATATATATATATATATATATATATATATATATAATATACATTTTTTATATAGTATATTTGCTTATATATATATATATATATTTTTTTTTTTTATTCATTTACTCAATAGTATTACTCAACTGTTAAATAACACTGAATGGTAAAATAAAAATAAATACTTTAGACTAGTTTTATGGTATAAATGTTGAATTTGGATTTTTTTTTTCTTGTCATTGGTTGCTGGTGTCAGTGTAAAAAAAAGTTTGTGATTAAAAGGATTAAAGGTCAAGTGATTGTATTAGTTTTGGGCAATTAATATAAAAATTATACCTCAAACATTTAAGATAAGAGAAAAAAAGCAAGAAAAAAAAAAGTTTTACATTGCTTTTGATAATGTAAGAAAGTTGTTGGCAAGGTAAAAGTAAAAAGAGAATATTGCAGGTCTGCTAATCCTGGTGTATTAGCTTAGCTTTTGAAGGCTTTAGAGGATGTAGGTCATCAATGCAATTCTATTGTACATGAAGGAAAAATCCAAAATTATTGAAAGAAAACTGGAATGGCAAAGGTTTATAAACTCAATTGAAAAAACATTACTAAGGAATAAAACTTTTTAAAAACAAAGATTTTAGAAAAAACAAAATAAGCTATTTATCAATAACAAGCAGTTTGGTTTAAGATCCAGATAAGGAAATTTTAGATGTAATATTTATTGTAAGTCAAGTAATGATTATTTAAAAAAAAGTATATTTCAGGAATTACTTTAATGGCTTTTTAAATTAATAATTAATAAGATGCAAATAATTAGGGTTCAGCATGAAGTTAGCTTCAGAAGAAAAAAGTTCAGGAGAAAAAATTTGGGGAATAAGTAGGAAAAGTCTGAGGTTTACCTGTAGAAAAGCTACAGGTAAACAGTAAAGCTTCAGGTAAAGATAGAAGGTGCTTAAAATGGTGTATATTTGAGAAACAACGTAATGAAATACAGCACAGAGAGAAAAACGTCTAATTTTTTGAGGCAAGTTAAAAACTAGATTTTGTTTACTATGAAAAGATAACCGTTTTAATTAGAGCAACAGATTTCTGGTGATTTTTTGTTTATTTATTTTTTAACATCTACTAGAGACATGGTGTTACCAGAGAAATGGTGGGGATTGAACGCAAAATTCTTGCTTATGAGGCAAGCGCTCAACCACTACCGAATTAGATTTACAGTTACCATTTGCCCGTTATTTGATGAGTCAGATTGCTCTTTAAAATTTTTGAAAGTAGGGATAACATATGTCGCTTTCCAGCAGGCTGGAAAACAAGACTCTGATAAGCAGTTTTGAATATATATGTAAGTAGTTTTGAAAGTATTGATGACAGACGCTGCAAGATTATAACAGATAATGCAAGATTATTTCTGCAAGACTAAAGCATGTACGTAGTTCGGACCACAAGCTGTAGAAAAGTCTATGCATGAAATTACTTTAAATACAGAAGCTAGAGTGTTACCAATATCAAGCAGTAGATCAACTTGTTTGTTGTTGCTATATCAGGTAAGATATAATTAGTTGAATCAATAGATAAAGTTGATGAAAAGTTCTTAGCAAACAATTCAGCTTTGCCTTTTGGTGAAGTGACAAAATCTGATTCATGCAAGAGAGGAGGAATAACAGATTCGCCCTTATTACAGACTTATTATTACGCCCTTATTATTATTGAAGATTCTCTAGAAGTCTCTGGAGCCAAAATTTTGAGATGAAATATAAGATTTTGTGACATCAGAATAGCAAGCTTTGGCGTTTGAAAAAACCTTTTTATATTGGTTTCTAGAAGTTGTAAACAGACATCTGTTTTATTAAGAATTGTTTTATCATTAGATATAAATAAAATAGATTTAAACCTAGTTTCGTGAAATGTAACTCACCTGAGAAATGGGTGAATTACAATTGTAAATGCTCAGGCTAATGAAACAATCTATTACAGGGTTCGTACTGTACCTGGAAAATCTGGAAATTTAGTTAATTTGGGCTAAAGTCAGGGAAAATCTGGAAAAGTCAGGGAATATATATTTTTTCTTTAGATAGTCATGGAAAAGGGAATTCTTATTGTGATTTTACTTGCTTTACAATTAAGCTATTATGTTTTTGTTGGTGCTACCCATTTATTTTTTTCTTAGTATTCATTCTTAGTCATTCTTTATAATAAGATCCATACTAATATCCAACTTAACTAATAGTTAAGTTTTATAAGTTTTTTCATTCAAAGCATGTAAAATTTTAACATTTCCATTACAGTAGATAGTAGTTTTAAACATTTTATAAAAACCATTATTGAAAATGGTCAGGGAAATTCGTCTGATTTTTCAAAAAAGTCAGGTAAAAGTCAGAGAATTTTGTATAAATATTTGGCTATGAACCCTGTATTACAAATACATCTGTGCCAGCCTAATGAAGAAGGGGTGTACAGCCAATTGAAGAAGTGGTACGAGACTGGTCAATAGAATCTGTTTACCCTTTAAGTCTTTGTCAAGGTGGTCATTTACAAGACAGTAGCTGAATGCAGTTAACATCTGCACTAGATGGAGTGTTTTTATTGAGGTGCATTTCTAGCTTTTACTCCATCGAGAGCCCCAAAGCAAGGTACTTTCAAGTCAGAGTTTGTTTCTCCGAGTCTTTTCCTTAAAAAAGCAAGCCCTACTAGACAGCATGGGGGAGGTAGTACTGGGTTACATGATATCGTTAGCAGGGTCATCGAGATGATCCTGAACCATTCCAAAAATAGATATATTAAAAGTTTAGTATGTTCCTTCTATTGTGATTAATTGGAGCTTTTAAGTAAGAATATAGAAAAATAAAGGAGGCAAAAAGGATTTCAGATTTAGAATTAATACCTAAAATTAGTCATAAACAACCTAATTCGCACAGTGAATTAGTATACATTATTTTTTTTATTTTTTTTATTGAATTTTTTCTCTTGTATTGAAAAAAAAAATTTATTATATATATATATATATATATATATATATATATATATATATACATATATATATATATATATAT